TTTAATTTTATAACCAAACTATGCTAATCCAGCAAACAACCAAGTAACAAAATTCCATGAATATCCTTTGCAGGCCAACAAGGTATCAAAACTATCCCTTCGGAAAATCACTGCTAAAATGACAAGCCAATGTAAATAATATCACCATTTATAATATAAATGTAATTTATAATGAAAGTGTAAATGTAAACATTCTTCAGAGGAGTTACAATAAGTTAAAATACTTTTAAAAGACTAGTTTTACCTCTAAGGAATTGCTATATACAGCGAAAGAAAAGCTTTCACCATTGTTAATATTCTTCTTTAAACAAACTTTTCTAATTAAAATAAATTTTAATATCTGTCAGTTTCAGTTGATATAAAAATAAATAATTTGATGGCAATGATTCAGAGCCTATACTTCATAGATGATTCCGAACTGTGCTTTTTCTCTAATATGGTAGCAACTAGTAATATGTGATTAAATTATTATTATTATTTTAAAATATTTTTTAGTTGTCAATGGACCTTTATTTTATTTGTTTATATGTGGTGCTAAAACCAATGCCTCACACATGCTAGGCAAGAGCTCTACCACTGAGCCATAACCCCAGCTCCATGATTAAATTATTTAAATCTAAATAAAACCAAAAATTCAGTCTCTCAGTCATGGCAACTACATCAAATGCTCCTCAGCCACATGTAGCTAGAACTATCACATCAGACAATATAAATATAAAATATGTCCATTAGTGCAGTAAGTTCTATTTGATAGCTTTAACAGGCAATAACTGGATAATCAATCTACAAATATCTATAATGTAGTAAGTAGAAATTTTATTTCTATTAAAAGTAAGAGAGCAATCCAAACAGATGGGAGAATAAACTCTAACAGTTAAGATGGTTATGCTCACATTCATCAATTGTGTGGTAAGATTTTCTTTTTTTTTTTTTTTTCATTAATAGACTGCCCAAAGCAGCAGGCTTGCCATATCATCTTAATCAATCGGATAAGTCCTTCTAGAGAATGCAAGACTCAAAACAAAACTGTATTCTGGCTAGAGGGAGTATTCTCTCTATACACACACCCATTCTATACACTATGCCTATCTCCAAACAATATGATAATGAAAAGTCAATAGGATTCACATATTTTCCTAACCAGGAAAAAAATAAAAAAGCAGATGATAATACTAGAGATAATTAGGAATATAATTTTATAATTAAACTTTTTCCACTTGTTATTTTACTCTCAATGGATCAGTATAAGGAATATAAAGGATTGAAGGGGCTGGGGATGTGGCTCAAGTGGTAGCGCACTCGCCTGGCATGTGTGCAGCCCGGGTTCGATCCTCAGCACCACATACAAACAAAGATGTTGTATCTGCCGAAAACTATAAAATATATATTAAAAAATTTAAAAAAAAAAGGATTTAAGTTTCTTTCTTAATGAGCAAACTGACTTAGCTGTACTTCCTGCTGTGGTTTTACTCCTGGTATAATTTTTAATCCATGTTCTCCTAGCTAACCATAAACAATTATATTATTCTCTTTTGGACTAAAGTGATTTGTAAAGGACTAAAGTGATGTTTAAAATGTCTCAATTTACCACATCACTATGTCAAAAGCCCAAATTAGTGACAGAATTTTAATTTATTTTCATTTATCCAAAAGGACCATTCATAGTTGGTATACTTACAACTTCACTACTACTGCCATAAGATTATAGTTTGAAAGCAACAATTGTAGGAAAAATTTCAAGCTTATTTAAATATGTGCATAAGCATACTTTCAACCTGACTGCTCCTACAGTAAAAGGTCTAAAACTATGAGGCATATATTAATCAGAGTATCTGCTGTTTTTTGGCAAAATAGGGCCAAAAATAAATATGTTTTATAGCTGTAATTAAGGATCACTTAACCAGGCTGCCTGTAAGAGCTCTTTCATTTTGGGGTTGCATCTTAGAAGTCATTTTCTCTTTCCTCTTCAAAAAAGGAAGCATTCATATTGTATCTTTGTTTTTAATGGGTATTATAAAAGTACAGAAAGAACTTTCATTTGTACAAAAGAGGTAGAATTTGATCTAAGGTAAAAATAGAGAGCAAAGGAAAAGAAGAACTGAGTGTATGTATGAAAGGAGTGCAACTTCACATTTGTACAATTGAGAACAAGTATGTAGATGCATTTCCTTTGAAATACTGCGCTACAGACTGACCCCTACCCACAAGTTTCTCGGACAATACCAGTTGTCAATCACTATGTGCTCTCATCAGCGCAAACCCAGACAAAGTGTGGCTGGTTGCTAAATTAGATAATTAATTCCTGATTATTACAGCAAGAAAATCTGTGCTGCCTGGTTATAATTTTTGCTTTCATTAAATGGAACTCATTCATTTATTCCAAAACTATTTTTTTTCTAATTTTCRGTTAGAAGTAATTACCATAAGAATAGGTGGTTACATTTTGTAATTCCCATTTCTTTGGAGTCATATGGACACTTAAAAACAATTAAAACTTCATCTGCTAAAGAGTATAGGTTATAATGAAATATAGTTGAAAACATTTATGCCTAATAGAAGAAAAAGTAGGCCCAAATCTTCATCATGTCGGCGTAGGACCTGACTTCCTTTACAAGACTTCTACAAAAAGTAGAATTTTAAGAATCAATAAATGGGATAAATTCAAACTAAAAAGTTTCTTCTCAGCAAAGAAAACAATCAATAACATGAATAGAGAGCCTACATAATGGGAAAAAAAATCTTTACTACTTGCACCTCAGACAGAGCACTAATCTCCTGGATATATAAAGAACTCAAAAAACTTTACCAACAACAAAACAAATAACCCAATCAATAAGAAACTGAACACTTTACAGAAGAAGAAATACAATCAATCAACAAATATGAAAAAATGTTCATCATCTATAGTAATTAGAGAAATGCAAATTAAAACTAAGATTTCATCTCACTCCAATCAGAATGGCAATTATCAAGAATATAAGCCATAATAAGTGTTCACAGTGATGTGTGGAAAAAGATATACATTGTTGGTGAGACTGCAAATTGGTGCAACCACCATAGAAAGCAGTATGGAGATATCTCAGAAAACCTGGAATGGAATCACCATTTGACCCAGCTATCCCACTCCTTGGTCTATACTCAAAGGACTTAAAATCAGCATATTACAGTGATACAGCCACATCAATGTTTACAGCAGCTCAATTCACAATAGATGAACTGTGGAATCAACCTAGATGCCCTTCAACAGAGGAATGGATAAAAAAAAACTGTGGTATATGTACACAATGAAATATTACTCAGCCTTAAAAAAGAATGAAATTATGGCACTTGCAGGTAATAGGATGGAACTAGAGAATATCATGCTAAGTGAAATAAACCAATACTAAAAAACTAAATGCTGAATGTTTTCTCTGGTAAGCGGATGCTGATTCATAGTGAGGCAGGGAGATAGGGAAAAATGAAGGAATTCTGTTTTGTGTAGAGGGGAGCGAGGGGATGGGTAGGATTATTCAGATGGGAAGGACAGTAGAAAGAGACCAACATTATTACTCTATATACATGTATGATTACACTAGTGGAGTGACTCTGAACCATGTATATACAGAGGAATGAGAAGTTGTGCTTCATTTGCATGCTGTATGTAAAAATTCATTTTACTGTAAAATTAATTAACTAATTTTTAAAAAGCTTACATGGAAAAGCAAATAATAAAATTAAGTAAGAAATGTATGAAAATTTATACAGTTAATCATTACAGGTGTAAGACTGCCTACCAGCATTTTAAAAATAGCTTCTGATCTTCTAAGAAGGAAAAAGTTTGAAGATATGCATATCTGTGCATATTAATTTAATGCTGATAATATAATCTACCATAAACAATGGGTAATGGTTAATGTGTGTTTATAAAACAGAAAATACCTTAATAACAATAAACTAAGTATGTTTTAATTGAATGCATGATAAAATATTAATAATGAAAACAACTAAAGAATTAATGCATGCCACAGTGTTTTTTATAAGAGTTTTATGCATAACATCCTTCTTTCACAATCATCAATGCAGAGATTAATGGAAGCAAGTACCAGCTAATCATTATAAAGAAAATTCCATATGCTAATAAAAAGAATTCTACCCATACCTACATGCCCTCTTCAAATTTATGATATTTTATCAGTTTCCCAGCGAAAGACAACTTGAGTTAAAAAACAGTGAAAGGTATAATGTCAAAGTTTAAAGTATGCTTTCCCTTTTCTTAAATTTGCTATTGTTCTCATATTATGTTGATAACTTATCTTTTTTGTAAACCTTGATGTTCTTAATTTTTTAAAAAATCAGATTTTTACCAGGAAGAAGTTAAATTATGGTATTTGATATTTTAGTAAATATTCAAGAAGGGAAAAGATACAGCAGATAAAGGAATTGAGAATAAAGTAGCCATATGTTTTATCTTCTAACTCGTGATTGTTTTTACAATGCAAAAGGACACTAACAGTAAAATGACAGTACAACAGGTGTAATGTGGGAATGCCCCACTGAAATCCAGACAGATGGTAACTGAGGTTAAGAAATATACTTTAGCAAATGATTCTTTGCTATTAAACAAAAACCAATATACATACTATTAGCATGTACTCCATGATAAAAGACTGTATTATTCCCTGTCCCTAGTTTTTGCATAGTAGGCACAATAAAAACTGCCAGAGGAATAGGCTTCCTTTAAAAAAAATAAATAAATAAAGCTTTATTGTGCCTACAGAATATAGCTTATTTAAATATCTTCATAAGGCAAAAAATCAACAAACTCAAATTATGTAATAAAGAGTGACAGAATAGTGCAATCAAGATATATTAACTATGTAAATAAGGACGGTATATCTCTAGTTTCAAGTCTAATAATGAGAACAAAATTTAAGCTCACAAAGGTAGCTATTTATTAAAATAAAAAGTTCCTCTAGGCAGGATAACCACATCAATCAAATAAATCTGCTTTCATTTCTTACCCGCACAGCCAAAAGCCAAATGGTATCTAGAAGAAGGGCTAAATTTAACACAGCACACGTTAGCCTTTGCCTCAATGCTTGCCACTGAATTGTCTAGGTTGGTAGACCACAGCTTCACTAAGGGAAAGACAATAAAGAGAAATAAATACATTAGCAAGTACTTCTGTAACTTGAAAAGTTTCCTTGTTATGACTGATGTGCTTTGTGCCAATGTAAAATAATTTGGTTTACCAGGACCAAAAAGTGTTTAAACAGAATGCCTGAAGAACACAACAACTTATTTGAAGCCAACAAAGTCTAGCTTCAATGTCAAAGCCAAAATAAACAATGATTTTATACTGAGAGGTAATTCAGACCCACAAGAAAACTTAACTTAAAAGACAGGTAACAAGCCATGCAAGGTGGCGCACACTTGTAATCCCAGCAGCTTGGAAGGTGGGGGCAGGAGTATTATGAGTTCAAAGCCAGCCTCAGCAACTTAGTGAGGCCGTAAACAACTTTAGAAAGATCCTGTCTCTAAATAATATATTTAAAAGGGTGGGGATATGGCTCAGTGGTTGAGTACCTCTGAGTTCAATCCTTAGTACCAAAGTAAAATTAAAAAAAAAATTAAATTAAATTAAAAGGACAGGTTAACAAAACAAGCAATCTAGAGTAAGGTGGCATATCCCTTACATGTGCATTCATTATAGTATTATTTAAATATGTGCTTAAGTGTACATACTCTGACAAACATCATATATTTTCATATGTAAGAATATTTTTGGAACCGTCTATAGAAATGCTTAAAGGGAAATGTGTAACAAAGCGTTTAGATTAGAAAAAAGGAGGTCTCAAAACGGTGACAAAACTTCACCTTAAACTCAAAAAAGGAGAGGAAATTAAGCCCAGATCAAGAAGAAAATATTAAAAAAATCAATGAAATCTCAATGCAATCCCTTCCAAAACCCCCAAGTATTTTACAAAAATAGAAAAAAAATATACAGAATTTCAAGGGTCTCAAATAGCCAAAATAATCTTTAAAAGAAACAAACAAGAAGGACTCATCCTTCTTCATTTCAAAACAACTCTAGATTAATCAAAACAATGTGGTAATAGCACAAAGACATACATTAAAAAACCAATGACTAATGCAGAAAAACCAGAGATAAAACCTTGTATGGACAGTGGAATGATTTTTGAAAAGGGTGCTGACACCATTCAACATAGGAAAAGACAGTATTTTTAACAAGAGGTCCCGGGAAAACTGGATATCCATGTGTAAAAGAATAAAGTCGTATCCTATACCATACACAAAATTTAAATAGATCAAAGACATAAATGTAAGAACTAAAACACTCCTAAAGGGAAACAAGGGAGAAAACCTTCATGACATTTAATTTGTCAGTGATGTCTTGGTTATGACACCAAAGGCACAGGCAACAACAACAACAACAAAAAACAACTTAAATTTCATCAAAATTAAAAAAAATTCATTCATCAAAGAACATTATTAACAAATTAAAAAGGCAACCACAGAATGGGAGAAAACATTTGCAAATCACATATCTGATAAGTGATTAACATCCAGAATATACAGATAATTCTTACAACCCAAGCAAATAAACCAAAAACAAAAACAAATAAGCTGATTAAAAGAGGAGACTTTGAATAGATAATTTTTCAAAAAAAAAAATGAATTTATAGTTGCAAAGCAATTATAAATCTTTTTATACATACATTTACTAATATTATTATTTTTGGAAACTTATTTGAAAGATTGATAAAAACATCAAAGTCTGAATAAATGACAAAAAAGCAGAAATAAAAACCCCAATGAGCTACCACTTTGTTCCTAATATTAGGATCTTCAAACATATATTTAAAAAAATATAAACAAATAAATTAAAAGGGGAAAGGCAAGAGGAAGGAGGAAGGTAAGAAGGAAGGAAATAATAAGTGTTGAAAGGATGTAGAGAAAACAGAATGCTTGCAATGCCAGACCTATTTTTGTCTATCTAACCATTAGTCTGGAAGATACATGAAGAAAAGAACAAAAGGGCAAAGAATTTAAGGCTACTGACTGTAAGGTAAAAGAAATTTGTCCACAGAGCTTTATAAACCTAATAGAAGAATCATATCAGAGAAGCACAGTAAGAATAACAGAAAATGATAACAAAGATGGATAAAAAAGAGAAAAAGTCAATTAAACAGGCAAAAAGAAATACAGAGGTTTTGCCTTAAAATATTATAAACTTTGTGAAGARACTTTAGGATACACCCAAAACTTCCAAAGGACCTGGCTATAAGATGACAGCAATTTAAAATGTCATTATGTGGCACAAATCCAGAAAACATCATTATAAGAATGCAATACATTCATTTTTCCTTCACTCAAAAAAGAGAAACTGATTTTTGTAAATTATGTTTGGCATAGTTTATCAGTAATCACAAAGGATTAACAGGAGTCTTTCACTAAGTGTTTGTATCTCAGCCAATTAAAGGAATTAGCAGGAGAGGGTAATGCTAGGAGAKAGATTCAAATAGTACCTTTTGCATCATCAGAACCTGAAGCTAAAAGTTTAGGATCCATCAAATTAAAATCAACACTCCAACACCTCTTCTCGTGCTCCTGGATATAGAAGGAAGACAAAAAGACTTAGAATATAGATCTTAAAATAAATAAAGTAAAATGAAACAACAAAATACTGATAACCAATTTATTGCTATGAAAGGGCAGGAAAGACAAGAGGCTAAAAAAAAAGCAAACTAAAATATTGATGCAAAGCAATTATAAATCTTTTTATATATACATTTACTAATATTATTATTTTTGGAAATTTATTTGAGAGATTGATAAAAACATCAAAGTCTGAAGAAATCCTTTGGATGAGGTATTACAATTATCACACATGTGTAAAAATATCAAATAGTCTCCAAATCTGTAATCATAACACACATGAAGTTCTATAATTGTTAAGAAAATGAGGCAAAAATATAATTCTTATTCTTATATAACTAGTACCTTAATTTACCTGATAGACCTTTGACCTCTGTCCTGTGAATCCATCCCATAGGATAACAGTGCCTTCATAATCACTGCTAGCTAACAAGTTCTTATGGTAGCTACTCCAACTGATACAGCTGAAAGAAAGTTAAAACTTACTTTACATATAAATAATAAGAGCAGCTTTTATTTAAAGTTCACAATCGCAATTCTACCAACAACTCCTAGATTTTTAAACTGAAAGTAATAAATCAAGTAATGGCCTTTAACCCTTTTTACTCTGATCACTAGTTGTAAGATGGATATGAGATTACAGCTTTCAGTTGTAGAGAATCACACAAGCCAAATAAACTAGTTTGAACTGGGTTTCTGTATATCCAAAAAATTTTGCCTTGACCAATGTAACTTATGACTGAAATTTCAATTAAAATGTTCTAACAAAGTCAAACTTTCAACATTTACGGTTTTAGCTATTCTCAATTCCCCCAAATTCTACAACATCTAAAAAGATATTCTGTTTTAAGTCAATAACACATCCTCCATATATGCAGTGCAATTACATCATTCACCATGAATGTGTAAGGAATCTCATGGAAAGGTAAAACAATCTCTCATTAATTATACATACCAACTGTTATATACATACTGCATCAGGACAAGAAAACCATGTAAATACCTGATTTTGGAATTGCAAGTCATTTCATTCTCAGGGTAATGAATATCCACTGCATCCTGGATGACTGTGCCATATTCATAGACTTTAATCTTCTTTGTAACCCCAGCAATTGCAAAATAGTCACAATCTCTGTCAAACTCAATACTAAGGAGGAAAAAGTATATAGTTTATCCCTTAAAATCATTTACCTATCCTTGTGACATTTACAAAAACAATTTTCAGAATTTTATACTTTCTATTTTTAAAATGAAAATTATTTGATCTACATGGATAAAAGATCTATTTGAAATATGTTCAAATTATGCTAGGCCCATGTCCATGATAACACATCAAGATACACCAAGACAGCTAGCTGTGCATATACAGCTGTGCTTGCAGACAGGCTTTTGTTCCCGACACCTGATATGCTTTTCAATTCAGCTCTATTAACCATAGTAAAATTTAATGGTTTGAATGGTTTGGTACATTATAAACATGTCAAAAGAATATTATCAATTAATTTTTGCACAAATTCTAGTTATTTCTTTTCCTATCATTTTGTGACAGATTTCAGAGCACTTAATGCTATTTTAATAAAATAGCATACAAGCCGAAATACTGAACTGGGTGATGAAAAAGGGACAGAACACACATAAAAATGGAGCCATTTTTGTCATTACTTTTCTCCAAATCCATTCCCGATATATCTCCCAAACAAAAGTGATCTCCAATATGGGTAAAACAGCTGTTGAGGATTGTTTTAAATGTGAACAAATAATGAGGTTAACAGATCTGTTTGTTTAGTTTCACCTTTCCTTTTCATTATATTTAATAATTCTGTTCAGGATAATGTAAATTGTTCAGAAAATTGTTTTCTTAGTACCTGTTGGAATGTTACATATTTTTTTTTTAAGCCATCATTGCCAGAATTCCTATCTTCAT